TTTTATCGTATTTTAAACATTTTAAATTTGTATTCTGAATTGATTCTATATATATTTATACTGTATGATGTTTTTTATTGTAAATTCAACTATGTTTACTTAGTTGCTAAATAAATAAAGAATTGAAAAAGAATTTGAAGAATTTGAATTTGATCTAGGGTTTACTCATCAAACAGAACACCAAATTAATATCTCTAATGACACTCCATTCAGGGAAAGGTCTAGGAGAGTAGCTCCAGCAGATCTTAAAGATTTAAAACAACATTTACAACAGTTGCTGGATCACAACATCATCAAAGAATCACGAAGTCCATATGCGTCACCTATCGTTTTAGTTAGGAAAAAGAATGGTAGTCTTAGAATGTGCGTCGATTATCGCACATTGAATAACCGTACAATCCCTGATCAATACACAGTTCCACTTATACAAGAAGCGATTGATTGTCTCAATGGCAGTAGCTGGTTCTCTGTCATCGATCTTAAATCAGGGTTCTATCAGATTCCTATGCGTGACGCCGATAAAGAAAAAACTGCATTTGTCTGTCCACTTGGGTTTTACCAGTTTGAGCGTATGTCCCAAGGTGTTAAAGGTGCTCCTGCCACTTTTCAGAGGCTCATGGAGACGTGCATGTCTGGTATGAATATGGCAGAAGTACTTGTCTACATGGACGATCTTGTTGTTTTCGGGAAAACTCTAGAAGAAATGGAAGCAAGACTCATGAAAGTTTTTGACCGACTTGCTGAGTTTGGACTCAAAGTATCACCTGAGAAATGCCAACTTTGTTGTAGATCAGTAAAGTATCTAGGCCATGTTGTGTCCGAAAAGGGTGTACAAACTGATCCCAATAAACTGTCTGCTCTTGAGTCCTGGCCTCGACCTACTAATGTAAAAGAGGTTCGTTCTTTCCTAGGGTTTTCAGGCTATTATAGACGTTTCATTGAGAATTACTCTAAGATCGCCCGCCCACTGAATGACTTGACCATCGGATGCGTCTACCCGCCAAAGCGAGGACAGCCAAAGCGGAAAAGGTCCGTGGATCCGAATGCTCGTAAGGCAAATGAGCATCTAGGCGCTCTATGGACACAGGACTACGAGAATGCCTTTAAACATCTAAAACATTGTCTCATTTCAGCTCCTGTTCTCGCATTTGCTGATCTATCTAAGCCATTTGTTTTGCACATTGATGCTTGTAGGGATGGTTTGGGTGGTGTGCTATACCAAGACCATGATGGCAAATTGCGTCCAGTAGCATATGGTAGTAGAGGTTTGTCTCATAGTGAGAAGAATTATCCAGCACACAAACTTGAATTTCTTGCTTTAAAGTGGGCTATTACCGATAAATTTAGAGATTATCTATACATGGCTCGTGGCACACGAGTCATGACTGACAACAATCCACTAACCTATGTACTTTCTTCCGCCAAACTTGATGCTACTGGCCACCGTTGGTTAGCAGCCTTATCCACTTTTGACTTTTCCATTCATTATAAGCCAGGTAGGATGAACACGGATGCTGATGCTCTGTCTCGCAGGCCACATGACTTTGAGCTCAACAAACAATATGAACAACACCAACAAGACAAGATTGAAAATCTTGAAGCCCGATTGAAATGTAAAGCATTGAGTCACGACAGCATTTGTTCCCAGGATATGGTTAGTGCACTATTCCTTCAGTACGGTGTAAGTGTTCCGGTTTCTTCTTCCATCAAATCCCCATCGCTCAATGTAAATGCCTCTGACACTATTCCACTCATTCATTCTCTATCTGTTAATGCTAGTTCTATACCTGATAGTTATGGGGCATGCTCTAACATTGAGGTTCCTGACTGGGCGAGCATCCAACAGAAAGACCCAACCATCAACCAGGTCATAAATTATGTCAAATTAGGTAAGAAACCCAAATTACAGACTGGTCTACCTGATGAGGTCAAACTCATTTGTCGAGAGTTCGACAGACTTCATCTTCGAAACAACATTCTCTACAGATGCATCACTAATCCATTAGGCAATAAGTGCTTCCAGCTTGTGTTACCCATCCAACATCGTATCCCAGCTATAAAGGGACTCCATAATGAACTAGGTCATCTTGGTTTTGAGAGAACACTTGCACTTGCCAGAGACAGGTTCTACTGGCCCCGAATGAGTGCGGAGATTGAAAGCTGGGTTAGACACTGTGGTAGATGCGTAGCTAGGAAGACACCACAAAAGCCTGCAGCACCCTTAGTCAACATAAGAACTAGTGGTCCTTTAGAATTGGTTTGTATGGATTTCTTGTCCCTAGAAGCAGATCGTAGTAACAAAAAGTCCGTCCTAGTGATAACTGACCACTATACTCGATATGCACAGGCTTTTCCGACCAAAGACCAGACCGCTCGTACGGTGGCTAAAGTCTTGTGGGAAAACTTCTTCGTCCACTATGGCCTTCCCAAACGCCTTCATTCCGACCAGGAGCGTGACTTTGAAAGTAGGGTTGTAAAAGAGTTAACTTCTCTGCTAGGCATAAAGAAATCCCGCACCACTCCATATCACCCCAAGGGGACCCTCAGCCGGAAAGGTTCAATCGAACCCTCATGAATATGCTAGGCACCCTTGAGGGAGAAAAGAAGGAAAGCTGGAATCGATACATCAGCGCTTTGGTACATGCTTATAACTGTACTAAACATGATAGCACTGGATTTTCACCCTATTTCCTAATGTTTGGGCGCGAAGCAAGGCTTCCTGTAGACCTACGTTTTGGTGTTAGCGTAGATGGAGTCGGAAACGTGGATCATTTAAAATATGTCAAAGATTTGAAAGATCAACTAACCCGTGCTTATAAGCTGGCATCTGAGGAAGCGGCAAAGTCAGCACGTAAAAATAAAGTTCGACATGATTTAAAAGTAAGTGTTAACGATCTCCACCCAGGCGATAGAGTATTAGTTCGTAATTTAGGACTACAAGGTAAACACAAACTCGCCGATCATTGGGATTCTATAGTGCACATCGTCACTGAGAGAATAAGTGAAGACATGCCTGTCTATCGTGTGAAGCCTGAATCCAAGGGTGGTCGATCTCGAACATTACATCGAAACATTTTACTCCCTATAGATTATTTGAACACAGACACTCCACAAGTGACACAAACCAAACAAAAGGTAATTCGCCCAAATACAAGGGCAAAAGCAAAAGTTGTCCCTTTTCTTGATAAAGATGAAGAAAGTCCCTATGAATCTAGTGATGAAGAGATAACCGTGTTACTTCCAATTCCAGATATACCTATTCCGGAATTGCCTAAAGTTCCCGAAACTACACCTGAATTTCCTTTAGATCCAGGAGCCCCAGAATATGTTCCTAGGGTAACGCCAATTTTGTCTCCCTCTGCTGGTCCTGAAAATGGCTCTATTGATATGTGTTCTGATGACATGTCACTTTGTCAGAGTATAGATTCCATGGCCCAATCAGCTCGTGATGAAAACGTTTCAGAAGCAAGTGAAATTGTAGCAGATGTAGAGCCAGCTGTAGTTGACTCACCGATATCGTCTGTTGTTTCCAGTTCGGAGCCATCTGTTCCTCTACTTGACTCTCCGGTCATCTGCCCTGACCCTATCCTTACCCCTTTACCAGATCCTACAGTGGCCCCTCAACTTGCTGAACAATTAGTGCCGGCTAGTGGTATTCCAATTGATACGCCAAATGATACTCTGACTGAAACCCCTCCCGATGAACCAGTTGTCACCGTTGATTCTAACGAAAACGAACTTGGGTTTGAGCAGCCTGCTAATAGTTCAATAATAGACAAAGCCGAGCCCATGCAACCTTTTGAGCCCGTCTCAGTAATTGATGCTACCGGAGATACGCCCTCTATGTCTTCTTCCCCGGAGGTAAATTACGTTAGGCGCTCAACTAGAGTGTCACAGCCACCTGAAAGATTAAGGTTCGAATCCCAAGGAAAACCTGTCTTTAGTCGTCAAGTTCGAACCGGAGTTTTTACAAAGTTAAAGAGACATGTATTTGGATGTTAAATTTTACTCCGATACTTCATGGCAGACTCTAGCGATAATTTTGATTTTCTATGTTTTTTCATTCTTTTTTGATTGCTCCCGGAGGTAGCAATTTAAGAAAGGGGAGGATGTAACCCAGCCATTTTAAGGCTGTGTTATACTGACTCTAGTTTTGTTAGGAACCTTATTTTCATTTACATACAATGAAGATGTGCAAGGCCGTATGGGAGGTAAAAATTCTTCAGGTAGATGGCAAACTAATTATCAGGGAGTAGCTCCCATTTAATTAATTAGATAGAAGGTCCCACTTGGCTAGAAGGTTGCATCTGGACACCCATTATATTTTTGCCTGGTAACAATTACTGACCAATAGTGGTCAGTGTAGGTCATGTGACAGGGCCTATATTAGGGCTTGTCACCAAAGTTCTGTCTCTTTTTCTGCCTTTTACAATTGGAAGCGCTGGTCGTTTCAAACTGCCGATCTATACAACTTTATATTTTTTTACAAAGTACTGTTGCTTACAAGTTATGTAC